AACAACATACACAGTCACACACACAACAGCACGGCGTGTGCAACTAAAAAGGGGTGCGTGCCTGGATAGTGGATGCAGTGTGAAATGACGTCAAGGGCTGGTTGACCTCAAAGTTGAACGACTTGCGAAATGTCTTTCGCTCCCCATTCAAAGAGCGTGTAGCTCACGGCACAGAGTAACCTGATGCGTTGAAACGCGCCCATGTTGCGTGTCGCATCACGAGCATGCCCCACGCCCACACAGACACTCGCACACACGCCCACACACACACACACACACACACACACACACACACACATGCATGCTTTTCACTGTACACTGTGGCACCAAGGCGAGGAGCACATGCTTCGACAAGCATGATTCAGCCACTTGCATCTCACGTTCTACTTCATTGCCTGCTGCACCGCCGCCACCACCGCCACCACCCCATCAACCACCCTACTCACCACCACAATCATTTACCAATTGTCCTGCTTGCAGCGGGTGACGCTTCGCTTCATCGCCACACGGAGCGGGCTTGTCTCCTGTGTTGGTCTCTCCCTCGTCGACGTCGCAAACTCGCGCTCGTTCGTCGTCCAAACCCCATTCCAGGTCGGCTGTGGTTGGTGGTGGTGGTGGTGGTGGTGGTGGTGCATGTGCAAATGTGTGCAAACAATTGCCCTTTCAGTTGTGGTGGCCGTAAAAACGGTGATGGTGCTTGGTGGGTTCGCTGCGATGAGGAGTGTGCTGGTTCGCCAATGTGCTGCGGACGGCCACACGTCATCCATACCCTCACTGTCTGACGTTGACGCTTCTATGACTTGCATACGTACTTGTGTGACAACAGGTTGTTGCAAATCGACAATGACATGACATGACATGACATGACATGACACGGTGCAATGCTGGATCAATATACATGCAAACGCCAGCGATCATCGAATGTCAATCTACTTCTCTACAGCCATCAATCACACTCTGTCCCTCAGTGAGAGATAGGGAGACGGAGAGACAGTTTGTGTATGGGTGTGTGCATGCGTGTGTGTGTGTGTGTGTGCATGTGTGCGTCACGCGAGTTGGAAGTAATCGCCCGTGCTCGGGCTGAAGTAGCAGTTGAGGCTCGGATCGTAAATCAGCTCCATCTGACCATCATCACCGGCGCCCTCACCGGTCACAGCGTCAGATTCGCTCCCAGTGGCGCTTCTGCGCGTGTGCCTGCGCGTCCGCGCGCTTGTGTGTCGCTGGTGCTGCTGTTGTTGGTGGTGTGGCTCCATGCCCTGTGGTTGTTGTTGTTGTTCTGTTCTCCCATCGGTTGGGCGTACGTGTGTGCCCTCAATCAGCCTTGCCATCTCCTCGCGTGTGCTTGCCAATGCTTCCTCCCCTGCTGTTTCCGCGTCCCCTTCAACGCCATGCACGCGAGTATGCGCGCTGCCATCCTCCATCCTCCACCCACCCCTCCCCTCATCTTCTCCCAGCTCCTCACCCCGTTCCTCAACGCCCCAGTCCTCGTACCCCTCCGCGCCCTCGTCAGCAATGGGCAGGTGGCTGGTGCTGTGCTGCTGCGAGTAAAGATCAAAGACGGGTTCAGGCGACCACCGAAGTGCACCGTCGCTGTCACCGCCAAACTCGTGGCCCCACGTCTGCTGATCCAGCATCTGCTCGGGTGTGTGTGTGTGTGTGTGTGTGTGTGTGTGTGTGTGTGTGTGTGTGTGTGTGTGTGTGTGTGTGTGTGTGTGTGCGTGTGTGTGTGTGTGTGTGTGTGTGTGTGTGTGATACGTGTGTGATATGTGTGTGTGTGTGTGTGTGTGTGTGTGTGTGTGTGTGTGTGTGTGTGTGTGTGTGTGTGTGTGTGTGTGTGTGTGTGTGTGCGTGCGTGTGTGATATGTGAGGGGATACCGGGAACGTGAGAATAATAGCAGGAACAGGCCACACGAGATGCAACAAATAGTGGCAGTCAACGCACCAAGCCGTCTGGCATTGGCGTGCCAGTGCTGGTCAGCGTGAGGTTGGACATGGACCTGCAAGCAGCGCATCGACATGATGCGTGAATTGATTTCGCGTGGGGACAAGGCAAGCTGACGCACAGGCGCAGACAGACACACATACACAGACACATACACAGACACAGACACAGACACAGACACATACACAGACAGACAGACACAGACACAGACACAGACACAGACACATACACAGACAGACAGACGGACAGACAGACACAGACACACACAGAAGCACGATTCACGCACCCCCATGCAAGCGAGTCTCTTCTCAGGGTTGTGTCATTGCTGCCGTTTGCATTTGCCATCCACGACAGCAGTGCATGTGCATCGTGTCTGCTCGTGTGCGCGTGAAAAGGTGTCCGCTTTGCAGCTGCAGTGGCGGCGGTGGTGGCGGTGGTTGGTCTTGGGCCGTTGCGAGCCCTGCGTGGCGGTGTGGGTGTCTTCTCTGCGTCTGTGAGCTGATGCAGCGCTTTCCGCGTTGCGTCCACCACACTCGACAGGTCAACGTCATCATCATCATCGCCACCACCGCCGCCACCACCACGCCCTGCGAGCAATGCGGGCAAGGGTGTACCGTCAGGCATGTTCTCCTCCTCCTCATCAAACTCGTCCACCGGCTGCGTCACTACAAAGTCGTCATCGGAGGCGCTGTCTTCGTCGCTGTCGGACGCGTGCCGCCAGCTCTCGTCCTGCAGGAACGTGTCGTCTGCCACCACAAACCCAGCCAGGTTCAGTGTCGGTGGCGGGCTCGCATCCGAGTCGCTATCCATGTCACCATCGTCTCTGCTGTCGGCATTGTGTTCTCGTGGTGTCGCATCATCAGTACCACCACCAGCAGCAATACGATCACCACCATCACCATCAGCAGCGTCGACGTGCCTATCGCTTCGGTCGCCGTCGCCCAGGTCCTCTGTATCGGGTGCTGTGAGCTCCTTGTCCTTGACCTGGAGTGACTGCAGCCGCGTCACAACTACTTCTTCATCGCTGGCGTCCCTGTCCTGGTTGTCTTGCACATTGATGGAGGTTGTCGTTCCGGCAGCGGCAGGAGCGAGATCACGCGCCGCACCTTCACCAACACCATCCTCGGTACCATCGTCAGCCATTGAGAAGGACAGGGATGGTGGAGGCAACGCTGCGTGACGGTGATCGTGTGCTCGCCCTTCGTCATCATCATCAACATCATCTGCAACAGGATTGTGCTCGTCATCATCTGTCTGCAGTCGCACGCTCTTTGTGGTGGATGATGGGGATGTGGTTGGCGACCAGACGGCGGGCGCGGGCCGCCGCTGTCCTGATCGCGGTCTGTTCCCCGAGCGCGGGCGGGAGGTGCGTGGGCTGGTGCGTGTCGCGTACTCCGACTTGAGTTCCAGCAGGCGGTCGTCCAGCCCCGCCATGGTCTTGCTGCCGGTCTTGCCTGGCTCTGGACGCCGCTCCCCTCCCGGTGGCGTGCGCGGCATGGACGCAAACACAAACATGTTCTGCTCCGGCTGCAGGCTGTTGGTGTGAGGGGCGCGTGCCACAGACATGGAGGACATGTGCAGATCTCCTTCATCGATGGGTTCGTTCGTCGTGTGCAAGTGTAGCGACTCTGAGCTGGCCCGCCTGGGGATCCTGCTCCGGCTGCGGCCAAGCGCCGACGCCGGCGTTGTGGTGGCCGACGTTGCGCGGCGTGGTGTGTGGTGGTGCTGCTTCCGCTGTGTCGCGGAGGGTGTTGTTGCTGCGTGTGGGGTGGTTGTGGCTGATGTTGCCCTGCTGCTGCTGTTGCTATCTTTGGCTGTGGTCTTGGTGCTTCGTCGACGCCACCTCCCAGATCCCGAGCGCTCGCGTGGCGGTGTTGACGGTGGCAGGGGCACTCCAGCCACTTTTCCTACTGCTACAGGCGCCGCCTTTGCTGCTGCCGGCGTTGCATTGGTCTTCTGTGTTGCCTCCTCTGTCCTGTCCCTGTTGCCGTCACCGCCATCGTGCCACGCTGTCCTCCTCCCAGCCATCCCTTCTTCTTTGTTGTCTCCTTCTTGTCTTGTTGTGTTGTTTTTGTGCTTTTCTTTCTTGCTTGCTTGCCAACGCTGTAGCCAGCAGCCACTTTTCTTCTTTCAGGTGGTTGATGTTTGTGGACACTCACTCCCACGCACACGCACACACATACATCCGCTACAACATGCGCAGGCAGCCAATGCAGTGACTGCAACTCATGTCCACAACAGCGAATCACCACGCACCAACGGCACTGCGCATCGGAGCCAACGCACAAATCAACCAACAGCAGCGGTGCCATTAGCGCCGCCAGATCTTGAGCATCTTGTCTGCGCCGCCGCTGGCCACAATCGAGCCAGTTGGGCACCAGTCCACAGCAAACACAGAGCCCTCGTGGCCAGGCAGGTCTCGCGACAGCTTTGTGTCTTTCGTCTGCCACAGCTTGAGCGTGCTGTCCTCGCTTGCCGTGATGAACATGCGCGAGTCTGGCGCCCACGCGCACCGGAAGACCGGTCCGACATGCCCACGCAGCGTGGCAACAAACTCGCCCTTGCGGTTCCACACGCGGGCAGAGCGGTCAAACGCACAGCTGACGATCCAGCGCCCGTCTGGGCTGAACTTTGCGTAGTTGACGGGTCGCTGGTGGCCAGTCATGCGGCAGATGGGCTTCTTGCTCTTGCTCGGCTCCCAAAGGAACAGCGTGTGGTCCTGCATTGGTGTGCGCACGTGAGTCAGTGTGTGTGAGTGTCAGTATGTCAGTGTGTCAGTGTGTGTGCGTGTGTGCGTGCGTGAGTGAGGAGTGGGTGAGTGAGAGAGGGAGAACGGGGACACGAGTGACACAGAAGGGGACAGAGTGAGTGAGTTGGGAGAGAGAGAGAGTGTGTGTATACAAATGTGTGTAGGTGTGTTGATGAAGCAAGAGATGTGTTGGCAAGTGTCTTCACCTCGCTGGCGGAGACCATGAGTTCCTTCTGTCCTTTTGCTTCGTTGTACCGCTTGAGACTCGTCTCCGTGATGTCGCCCTCTGTAGCGAAACACCATCATCACACATACGCACGCACGCGATAATGAGACATAGCCGTGCTTTTTCACTTGACAGACAGGCAGAGGCCGGCTAGAGAACATGCTGCAAAGAGACAAGCGGACGGACAGACGGACGGACAGACAGTCAGACACACACACACACACACACAACACAACACACACACACACACACACACACACACACACACACACACAAACGCACCGATGACGCCACGCTCGTTGAAGGCGCCCGTCCTGAGGGCGTGGTCTGTGCTGAGAGAAAGGCAGTTCACCCAATGCGCATGACCCTGAAGGATACACAGTGGCATGAACAGGGCGCGGGTGAGTGATACAGCGCAACACACAGTGAGTGGGTGGGTGTTCGTGTGTTCGTGTGTGCGTGTGTGTGTGTGTGTGACTGTGATGTTGTTGTGTTGAAGAGATCGAACCTTCATGGACCATGCCATTGCTCCGTCGTGTGCCCGCCACGCTTTGATGGTGGTGTCCTGCGATGCCGTGTAGATCATGCCTTCACCGCCCCACACAACGCACTTGACTGCCTTGGTGTGCTGCGACAGCGTCATCAGGCATCGCCCAACAGACACATCCCATATCTTCACCGTGCCATCCTGCAACACCAACAGTGTTGGTGCGGGGAGGGCGAGAGGTGACAAGTGCAATGCATGGTGTGAGTGTGAATGTGGGTGTGAATGTGGGTGTGAATGTGGGTGTGAATGTGGGTGTGAATGTGGGTGTGAATGTGGGTGTGAATGTGAGTGTGAATGTGGGTATGTATGTGCATGTTGCTTGCGGAGCTCAGGGGCAAATCGCAGAGCACCGCATGTCACAGTCCCCCGCATCTCACCGCTGACGCTGATGCAAGCCGTGTGGAGACTTTGTGTTTCGACCTGGTAATGTGTGCATGTGCGGGTCGAATGTGAGAAAGCGTTGACAGGTCAGAGACGCCGACAGCGGTGCCAGAACTTCACATCTCCCACTCACCCTCCTCAATGACAACAGCGAGCGACTGTTCTTACGTGTGCATTGGCTCCCACGACAGCCATGTGACGTATTTCCTGTGCCCCTTCAGCGGTGCGCAGGCGGGCGATGCGCGATCTGCTTTCCACACGCGAATCTACAACACACACACATGTACATGCACACACATGCACACACATGCACACATACACACACACGCACAAGTGAGTGTGGATAGTTGTGGTCTGCGTGTTGGTCCCATCAGTCATCGTACAGCAGCGTACAGTTGGGCAATACAGGCAGCAGCAATGTGCCAGGCGTCGGTACCTCGCAGTCGCGGCTGCCGGACGCAAGCAGCTGTGAATCGGGCGACCATGCCACACACTGCACCCAGCTCTTGTGTCCTGCACAGGTGTAGACCACATGTGCATGAAATCAGTGTCATGCATCGTCAACGCAGCCACTGAGACGGGTTCAAGACAAAACACGTGCATTCTCATCTCCACCACACTGGTCTCGTTGAGGGTGAGCCCTCCTGCACTCTTCCTCAGTGCTCCATCGCAGCCGCACCTTTGCATGTCTTGCGTGGTGTTGCTGTGAACACATCCCAGAAACGGACGGTTTGGTCACCACTGCCGCTCGCGAGCGAGTTGCCATCGGGACTGAATGCCACATCGACAATGTTGTCCGCATGCCCTGCAAGATGGCTTGTGATGAGTGCCGCGCCAGTTATTTGCAAGAACACACGAGTACAAGCACAGACAGACAGACAGATAGAGAGAGAGAGAGACAGACAGACAGACAGACAGACAGACACACACACACACACACGCAAACACACGCAAACACACGCAAACACACGCAAACACACACACACACACACACACACACACACACACACGCAAACACACACACACACACAAACGCACACACACACACACAACTCTACACCTCCCTCTCCCTCTCCTGCTGCTGTCCGATCTTGCATGTTGTTCCCATACCTGGAATGGTGCCGCTGCATTGCGAGATACCGGCAACACGGAAGACAGCCTGGGGCTGATACACGACTCGAACCACTTCCTCAGAGGATACACCGGTTGTGTTCATGATGTCAAGAATGTCGGTTGTGATCTCCTTGTCCTTGACATAGAATGCATACGGCGCTGGATCCTCCTACGCCATGATCAGGTGGTTGCGTTGTATCGTGTAAGTATGTGCGGCAAACAACGGTGAGCGAGAGCAATCAGGGCAGGGCTTTCTGCAGGTGAAGGTAGCAAGGGTGTGGTCTTCATGTGTCATGCGCAGGCGGGCCAATGTGCAGCATATGTGGGAGTGTGCTGCGAGCAGGGCTGGAAGGACGCGTCGCACCTCTTCGAGGATCTCGTTGCACAGCATTTGGAGCTGTGCTGGTGTGGTCTCTGATGACAACTCGATTGGCTGACATGCTTCCTCTCCTTCCTCATTCACAAGCTGTACCAGCACTCGCACATGCTCGTGTTTCCTGTCGCGTGGCGAGGAGAATGCGTTGAGCGTGTGTGCACAAGGAGTGAGGAGGAAGGTGCCATATGTGTGTGTGTGTGTGCGCAACTTATGTGCGAGACAGACAGACAAACAGACAGACAGACAGACAGACAGACAGACAGACAGACAGACAGACAAAACAGTTGGCTAACTTACTTTTCCTCCTCCAGCTTGGCCTGGAGCTTGGCCTTCTTGTACGACGCCATGTCTCTCGCGCGCGTGTGTGTGTGTTCGGTGTTGGTGTGTCCTGTTTGCGTTTGTGTTTGCATACACGTGGGTTGCAGCTTTTAATCGCGCATCGAATCATGACCTAAATTATCAAATTGACGACAGCGATGCCGTGCATGCACACAGACACACAGAGACGCATGCACACAGACACACAGACACACAGACACACACAGACAGACACACAGACACACACACAGACAGACCATCAGTTCAGGGAGGCAATCTTGGCACGCATGTGCTTGATGGTGGCTGTGGTGCGTTTGTTGAGGGGCACGTTGTGCCTGAGTGCGCATGCCCACATGGCATCAAACACAGCCAGGGCCTCAGCAGCCGCACGTGCACCCGAATCAGTGGCATCATCGTCCCCTCCTTCTCTTTCAATCCTAGTTCTATCTTCTCCCAAATGTGCCCCACTCTTGTGCCCAGCACACGCTTCATCGCCTTCAGTATCACCATCGCCAAAAGACCTCACCTCTTCACTTTGACCACCACCACCACCACCATCACCAGCAGTCACCAGCCTGCGATCGTGCTCGCTCAAGCACGCGCTCAGCGCAAAGACGACCTGACCCGGTGCTGTGTCCACACCCAGCGTCTCCAGCACCTCCAGCGCAGCGCGGCCGTCCCCACGTGTCACTGCTGCCACCAGCACGTGGTGCAGGTGCTTCTGCCGCGCGGTGGCCGCCGTCAGCTGGCCGCTCTGCACAAGACCCTCCACCACCTCCTCCGCAGCAGCCGTCCTTTGCTGCGCGGCGAGTTCGCGTGCAACCACCAGGTGCACAGGCGGCGGCGCGTGGGAACCAAACGTGCGCGGGTACTCCCTGAGCAGCTGCGTGGCGGCACACACGCCATCGCCAGTCATGACAGCGCGCATCAGGGCGTGGTGCATGCGGTTGCGCGGGTCGCGGAAGTTGGCTGAGCTCAGATGCTGTGCAACCCGCAGGGCATGCGAAGACGCGCCAGCAGCAGCAAAGCAATCCAGCAGCCGCAGCCTGTCTGTCACCGTCATCTGACCCTGCTCTGTCAGCATGCCCTCCAGCTCAAGCGCACGCGCAACAGCGCCCGCCTTGCATGCCACGTGCAGCGCGGCCTTGTAGTGTGTGGCAAGCGCAAGCCCTTGCGCCTCCAGCATGGACAGGCACCGGTCCGCTACCTGTGTTGCAGCAGACCAGCGAATGCACGTGAGCGCAACACGCGGCGCAGACTGCAGGCACACGCCGCGTAGTTCAAACGTGTCCAGCAAATTGTTCAAAGCCGGCCAATTGCGCTGCTTCGCCAAGTGCGTCACAAGGAGCAAGCCCGCTTCCTCAACACCATCACTGCTGCTGGCGACGGGTGCTGCAGATGTGCTTGGCATGCCAGTCACAGCAACAGCACTGTTGTTGTTGTTGTTGTTGTTGTTGTTGTTGTTGTTGTTGTTGTTGTTGTTGTTGTTGTTGTTGTTGTTGCTGTTGTTGTTGTTGTTGTTGTTGTTGTTGTTGTTGCGATGACCACGGCGCGAAGTGTCATGGCGGTGGTTTGCAGACGGGCCTGATCGTATACCACCGGCCGGTGCTGCTGTGAAAGGTGGTGACGTGGCGGGTGTATCCCCCGTTGTTTGCATGGCTGTTGATGTTCGTGCTGTGTTAGGCGAGGCTGTGTGCGTGACATTTGCGGATGCGTCACGTGGCAGGGATACGTGTTGCCTTATCCACGCAACACCCTGTGCTCCGTTGCCGCCCTTGCCACGATACCGCAGCCGTGCACCTTGCCTGGTAGTTGCCGCAATGCTGTTGAAGTAGCGCACGCCCGCATCGTCACGCCTGCTTGCATCACGCTGCCGCAGAATGGCGGTGAGGGTGCTCGTGTGGAACCTTGCGCCCATGTCCTGTCCGTACGCCGCAAGCAGTGGGCCAACACGCGGCACAATGTCTTCCACACGGTCGGCGGCAATGAACGCCCGCGTGAGCGTGCGCAGCGTGGATGCATCAATGACACCCTGGCTCCGTGCACCACTGATGTCGCTGTCTTGTCCATCACCACCACCAGCACCATGGTGAACGACACAGTCAGCGGCACCACCACCACTACCACTACCACCATCAGCGTGTCGGCAAACACGACCAGCGACTCGGGGTGTTGTCGAAGCAGTCGCAGCAGCAGCAGCAGCAGGAGGAGGAGGAGCAGCAGGTGTGGTGGCGGCAGTTGTAGTAGTGGCAGCGCCATGAGCGGTGTTCAGTTCTCGCTCGAGGGCTGCAAACGTCTCCAGGGCACCGTCCACGTCGCCGTATTGCGCCTGCGCTTTGAGTGTCGCGTGCAGCAGCGTTGCGTGGTCAACGAGTGGCGGCGGGGCAGGCGGGTCGGTTGGCGCCGCCGCGTCTGCTGTGAGCCACGTGGCAAAGTCAACAAAGTCTGCCATGGTGGCGTGGGTGGCGATGCCGTCAAGTACGGCTGTCATGAAGGCGGGGGTGAGCACCAGGTCCGGGTAGATGCTCTGCCAGTCTGCAATGCGAAGCAGCAGCGCGGGAGTGGCGCTGCCCAGCTCAATGTGAGCGCACGCGCAGCTTGCCAATAGTGCTGGCGTGAGCTGCTCTTGCTGGTGCAGCTGCGTGATGATGGCCTCTGCTTCCGCGTGCTGCCCGCGCGCCACGTAGCACCTGTACACGGCAAGTTGCAGGTGAGGGGGCCAGGACATGCCCTGCTCAAGCATGATGCGCATGAGACGCTGAACGCCGTCGAGGTGGTACGCGGCGCCACAGGTGTGGACGGCCTTGCAGAGCGCAAAGGCGTCCAAGGTAACGCCGTTTGCCATGGCCAGCATGATGGCTTTCTCCGCACCAGCAGCGTCCTGTCGTCGCTGCAGCACGCCAAGTGCGCGGTGCACGTCCTCCTTGGAGACGGGCGGGGGCACGCGGTCCGCGTGTGCAACGGCCGCAAGGAAGGCCTGGAGGGCATTTCCGCCGTTGCGATTGCTTCTTGGCCTGTTCGCTGCTGATGTGGTGTGAAAGTCTGCATTGGCTGCGTTGTGAAGGTCTACGCTTGCTGCGACTGCCGCCTCGGCATCTGTGGTCACGAGCGGCGGTTTAGTATCCGGGGCATGCCGCAGTGGTCTGTGTGTACTGGAGACCTCGCGTTTGACATGGTCGTGTGTTAGTGTTGATGGTGGTTTTGATGGAGGTCTTGATGGAGGTCTTGGTGGCGGTGATCGATCCTTCTCTAGCTTCTGCTGCTGCTGCTGTTGTTGCTGTTGTTGCTGTTGTTCTGTGGCAATCAGTGTGGATGCTGATCGGCGATGCGACAGGTGCCGTCTGAGAACAGAGGGGTGGCGTATGTGTCTGGTAGCTGTATCTTCACACAAGTGCTGTGTGCCTCCAAGCCAGGAGTGCTGGGTCTGTTTGGCAGGCGCAGCCCACCCACTGCCGCGTTCGCCATGCCACCTCCCGCCACGGCACAGGCACACGTGGGGCAGTGGGCGCTGTGTGGGGTGGGCGCGAGCAGCTGCGCGTGGCTGCTCCGGCGTTGCTTCGTGCCTCCACCCCGTGTGCAGCACGTACCCTTCTCCTACTCCTCCTCCTATTTCAACACGACCGCCAACACTGCTTCCAACACTGCTACTCCTGCTGCTGCTTCCACAGCACGCACGCTGCTGCCGCCTCAACCCACACCACCGCCGCCAAGCCATATCCAGTGCCTAAAATTTATGGTGTCGTCAACAGATTCACAAGTTTGCAACGAAAAGACAAGCACGCTGCCAAGCCAGGTGTTGTGTGTGGCGTTGCGTTGTTGTGTGGTTGGTGGAGCCCCGAGACAGGCAGCAGCGCTACTGGTCCTGTTGCTGTTCAGCTGGCGCCTCTGTGGCCTCCTCGCCCACCTGCTGCGTGGTGCCTCCTGCGCCCACATCGGCTGCTGTCGTCGATGGCGTGTCGGGCTGCGTGCTCGCCTTGGAGTCGCGACGGCTGCCGCCAGAGTATGGCTGCGTCGCCTCCAGCTGGTTGGCGGCTTCACGGGCAGGCGCAAGGTCGTCACCACGGCTCAGGTACAGCACTACCTCGCAGTGGTCTGTATGCGGGAACATGTCCACGGGAACCGCCTTGATAATCTCAAACGGCGCACCGCGGTACCGCTTCGACGGTGGCCGACACAGGCTGTTGTGTGTGTATTGTGTGTGTGTGTGTGAGTGAGTGTGTGTGTGTGTGTGTGTGAGTGAGTGAGTGAGTGAGTGAGTGAGTGAGTGAGTGAGTGTGTGTGTGAGTGAGTGAGTGAGTGTGTGTGTGAGTGAGTGAGTGAGTGAGTGAGTGAGTGAGTGAGTGAGTGAGTGAGTGTGTGAGTGAGTGAGTGAGTGAGTGAGTGTGTGTGTGTGTGTGTGAGTGTGTGTGTGAGTGTGTGAGAAATCCGGTGCAGGTGCAAGTGCAATTTCTTGCACGCAACCGTGGGCTTGCGCGGGCACCAGCCAGCAGTAGCAACAAGCAGTCACACTGCAACGCGAGGTAACGTACTCAACCAAGTTTTGAGACGCGCCCTTGAGGTTGCAGGACACGTAGATCAGCCTGTCATCCACGACAAGGCGTTTGAAGTGGATAAATGACAGCAACATGAGGTGTGAGGAAAAGGGGGGGGGGAGGGGAAGCACGATAACAGTCGCCGTCACCACCATCATCATCGCGCTACAGCACTCACCGTTGAATGCCCTCGCACCGACGAATTGCGTGCACAACAGAGGGATCTGCACACGGTTGTGGTTTTGCACGTGTGCATTTGTGCGTGTGTTTGTTCAAGTGCGAGCGTTTGGGTGTGTGTGCGGTTGGGTGGGGTGTGTACAGCGTGTTGGCAAAGCATGAGAGTACGCAGCAGTGCATTTGAAAAGAGCTGTTCGTGCACACAAGCAAGCAAGCAAGCAAGCCCAAGGCAGTGCATCAGAGCAGAGGAGTGCAAATGCAGTGCAATTGACTCACGCAGGCCGGCACGGGGCGGGTCGACGACGGCAATGAGTTTGTCGGCGGTGTCGCGATCTGGGGCAGTTGGGAGCAGAGCGCAGGGGAGCCGTGGCGGTGAAGACAGTCGTGGTGATGGTGACCATGACAACAACGTGGAATGGTGGAGGCGACGTGCGGTAAGCGAGGGTGGCGGTCGGGGAGGGGAGGGGGGAAGGGGAGAAGGTGGTGGTGGTGCTGCTGCATTGTTGACGGGGGTGAGTGTGTGACGAGCAGACATGAGCGCAAACATGGCCGGCTCGAACCTTTGACGAGCTCGGGAACCACCTCCTCTGCCTTGCCCGTGTGATAGGTGACGTTGGTGATGCCTGGCATGATACACAAAGTGGTTACACACAACTGATGAGAGCCAGGAAGTTCGAAATGTGCTGTGCACACAGACACACACACAGACACACACAAACAAACAAACAGACAAAAACAGACACAGAAAGGCAGACATAGGCGCGTGCACAGACACACATTCACCAACACACATGCATGTACCATTGCGCTGTGCGTTTGCCTTTGCGTCAATGACGGCGTCCTCGACCATCTCCACGCCAATGACGTGCTGCACACGCGACGCAAGCGTCTGCCCAATCGTGCCCGTTCCACAGCACAGATCCAACACAACATCAGACTTGTCGTCCTGGCACCAGGGAAGAAGTGGTGTGTTGGGGTGATTGATTGGTGGGTGAGGAGATTCACAGAGTTTCTTGGTACATGCACATACATACAAAGAGCCACACAGACAGGCAGACAGGCAGACAGGCAGATGGGCAGACACACAGACAGACACACAGACACATATGTGCACACACATACACATACACGGCGCGTACCGTGAGCTGGCACCAGTCGCCAATGAGAGAGTACAGGACCTCAGCACCGGGCGTGTTGACTGCCGTCGGACAATCACGCGTGAAGTGAGGGCATTGCGAAACATGGTGTGGGGCACGGCAACATCACTTGATGGCTGCACACGCGACTGACACAAATAAACCACAACGCCATCGCCAGTATGAGCGCCCCGATGATCACCGTGATCACAACAACGATCACACCAACGGCCACCAATTGCCAACAGGGTGTTGCCAAACCTTGGAAGAACGAGTCTGGGGAGATGCGGAAGTTAAGTCCGAGCAGCTTCTCTTCAATGAACTGCAAGAGTGTAATGTGGACGTGTGTGTGTGTGTGTGTGTGTGTGTGTGTGTGTGTGTGTGTGTGTGTGTGTGTGTGTGTGTGTGTGTGTGTGTGTGTGTGTGTGTGTGTGTGTGTGTGTGTGTGTGTGTGTGTGTGTTGGCACATAGTATAGCGCGTGCAGTCATGGTGCAATCAATGCATGGTGCAGTGGCAGCATCTGTTCCCGTGCGCACTGGTCGCCCACCTGCGAATCGCCCTTGATGATATGTGGCGCTGGGCGATCCTTGGCCATGCACGACTGCAGTGGTGACGACGAACATGATTGTATGCACGGTGTGCCATGCACATGCAGTGGTGAGAGTTGTGACAACGGCATTCACACACACACACACACACACACACACACACACACACACACACACACACACACACACACACACACACACACACACACACAAGCAACTTACCGCGGAGTTGTCGACCTGCAGCATCATGATGTCGATTGGGGTGTTGTGCTCGTGAACGAATTCCTTGAGCCGCTCTGCCTCTTTGGCAACAGCACCGTCCTCAAGCTCGGCATCTGTCAGCTGGCAGCACACACGCACGCACACGCACACACACACACACACATCGGCGGGTAAGCTTGTAGTCATCAACGGTAGCAACAAGAACAACAACAAGAACAACAACAACAACAACAACAAGAACAACAAGAAGAAGAAGAACAACAACAACAACAACAACAACAACAACAACAAGAACAACAAGAAGAACAACAACAAGAACAACAGCGGCATGGGCGCGAGATATGGCAACTCACAAAGAGGACAGCGAGCGCCTGGCCAGAGTTGGTGACGCGCACAAGTAGCTGCCGCCAGCAGCCCTGAATACGTGGACACATTCGCAGACGTCATGTTACACGCGCACAAATGTCGCAGAACACACACACACACACACACACACGCACACACACGCACACACACACAATCACATGCTAGTGGCAAGGTTGGGCGTGCCGAGGAGTGCAGCAGCATCAGCAGGGGACGAACCTTGTGTGTGACGAGGCAGTAGTGCGGATGGGACGATGCGCGCACGAAATCCTGACAGTGACCAACACAACCGTGGGGCAGAAGGAGATGGAGAAATGAGGTCAGCAGAGAGCGCAGCATGCGGCACAGCAACAGAGAGCAACAGAAAGACACAGGAGGGCGGCGGGGGGAGCATCGAAGAAGTTGACATGCATCATCACCACCGCTATCACAATATCATCAGCACTGCTATCATCCACATGATCAATACCTGCACGTGCTTGGCGATTGTCTTTGCGCGGTCAGGGACGTTGCGACAGAGCGACGGCTCGACCACCGTGATGCTGCCCGCGGCATACGAGCCAACGCGGAAACCAACCGTGTTCGCCTGGCGTGCCGTGCGTGTGTGTTGCGGAAAGGGCAGCGGCACGGAATGAGGACATGCAGCTGTGTGAATACAGGTGCATACAAAGGGATGCATTGAAGAGCCAGTGCATCGAGAACAAACACACGGATATACACACGTTTGCACGCACATGTTTGCGCACACATGTTCGCACACACAAGACACAAACACACACGTACGCGCACAGCCAATCACTACCATCAACCTCCCTCCCTTCCCTGCCAAACACAGAGCCGGTGCAGTTCAGTGTCTGCATCAGGATTGCGCGTGCCACGTCGTGCCCACCTGTCCGTCCGGACCACTGCCGATGGTGAACTCGCACTTGGTGCGGTACCCGTCGACGATGGGCGAGGGCACCGTGTCCAGTAGAACACACGGCATGCCTGCAGGCAACCACGCGAATGAGCCGTGTGTGTGTGTGTGTGTGTGTGTGTGTGTGTGTGTGTGTGTGTGTGTGTGTATGTGAACGCCAGTACTCGCAATCCGCACCCGCTAAAGTTAACCCAGTGTACGCGTGTACGCGTGTACGTGTGTGTGTGCATGTGCTTACCTGCAAACTTGCGTGTTGCAATCTCCACCCAAGCGTCCTGAATGTTGGCTCTGATGACGCACATCCACAACAGGCATCACAACACAACACAAACACAAACACAAACACAAACATGCATGCGGCGTGTCAGAGTGTGTACTTGCGTTGCTGTGTGCATGAACGGTCAGTGCGATTCTTGCGGAGACCACATGATGTGAACATGCATCCATCCATCCATCCATCAATCAATCAATCAATCAATGCCACCAACTAACGCACTTCTTCAGCTGGCGCGCCATCTTACGCATCGTCGTCACCTGCACACAAAAAACACAAGGTCACACACATGCACGTGTTGTGTTTGTTTGTGTTTGTGTTTGTGTTTGTGTGCGTTTGTGTGTGTATTGCGTGTGTTTGTGAGTGTTTGTATGTGTGTGAACACTTGAAGGTCGATGTGACGCACACACCTGCATCCCCCTAAATACGCACACACACATGAAACACGCCCTCGCACTACGTGTGTGTGTGTGTGCGTATGCGTGTCAGCATGCATACGCACAACAAGGCGTCGCTTGATGTCGAGCTGTTCCTCGTACGGCTTTCGCCACAGCGGGCACGCCTGACACAAAGCAAACGGTGAACGGTGGTGGTGGCGGTTGTGAAGGGTTTGGCCAGGTGGGTGGTGAAGTGAGCGCATGCACACAGACACACACACAGGCACACAGATACACAGGCACACAGAAAACACAGGCACACAGATACACAGACACATACACACACACACACACACACAGACGTTGCCCGTGTGTTTATGTGTGTGCATGAGTGGGGTATATTAAAATGATCACAACAAGACGATGTGGACATACCCTGTCTGCCACTTGCTCCTCTGGCGGGAGCGAGGGGTCGACGTCCATTGTCTTTGAGCGCTTCGCCCCCGGATCAGACGCTGAGCAGCACACACAGATGGGCACATGCACATGTAAACATGTGAGAACCATAGCGGGGCAGTTGGCCACACACACACACAGCACACACACACACACACACACACACGCACGCACACACACAACGCCAGTGCGAACCTCTGTCGTTCATGCGTCGGACAAATGGGTCCTCCATGGGTTTTCCCTCCACAGCTTCAAGCACACGCCCCCTTGCCATGGCGAGCGCATTTGTGATTGTGCACGTGTTAGTTACATCGCAGCTGCTGTTTGATTCGGAAGGCAACACACTGTTTGCACACGTCCTTTAAAATCACTCTCGCACACACTTACACACCACACTCACCACACGCACACGCACACACACACACACACACACACACACACACACACACGCACACACACACACACACACACACACACACACACACACACACACACACGAGCAAGTGCGTGCGCCTTACTTGTACTTGAACCCGTTGAGGGTCTCCATGGCCTTCTGCTTGTCTTCGGCATTGGCAAACGAGAGGAAGGCACGATCGCCGTTACGCAACTTCTTCACGCGCGTAAAGTTCTGGACGGGAGGCACCAGCAAGGAGTGAGCATTCAGCAGCGAAGAACGCAGAGATTGGCTCATCCACTCGGGTACACGCACACACACAGAGCGAATACAGAAACCTCTTGAAGCACATATCATTCACTTACCACGCCCTGTTTGCGAAGCATCTTCTTGAGCGACCCCGCATCCACGTGCTTGTTGATGTTCTTGAGGTCAATCTTGTTGAGCTCCGAGCAGTTTGGGCTGCGGTGCAGGTAGTGGAAGGGGTCCTTGACGTCCTCCGCTGTGGAAACGTGGAAGCAAGCAGGTGAGGTGTCAGTGATTTGTTCGTAAATCACGTTCTGTGCTGGGTACGCTTCTCCAGGCAGCAGCACCAATCAAGCTCAAGCTGTCACGCATACCTGAAAGCGGCGTTGCCTTTGATTCAGTTGCCTTTGCAGTTGCAGATGCGGTTGCATCTGCAGCCGTGGTCGTGGAATCGGAGGCAGGGGCAGTTGTTTGCTCCTCCTTGGCCTGACCCTCTTGAGCAACAGCGTGAGCTGTCGTGTCCGCTGTGTTGTCCGCCATCGTGAACCACCGCGCGCTGTTCCACCTGCAGTTGTGTGCAGTGAGATGTTAGCGTAGTATCTTGACATACCGAAGAGCACGCAGCGTTGTGTGAAAGGAAATCACACACACATACAGACAGACAGACACAGACACAGACACACACATGCACACAGACACAGACACACACACAGACACACACACGTGTACACAGACACACATGCACACAGACACAGACACAGACACACAGGCACAGACACGCACAGACACACAGACACACAGACACACAGACAGACACAGACAGACACAGACACACACAGGCACAGACACGCACAGACACACAGACACACACACATATGTGCCAACGTACAAAGCAGTCAAGGATCGAAGCTGGGGCGGTGTTCTGAAGACACTGGCCAATGCAGTGACAGCGGTGGATGCAGCTGTTGGCGCTGTTCTTGACAAGAAGCAGAGATCACGACGCTGGCTCAACAGGAGGAATCGGCAACAACAACGTGCTCTTCGCCACATCGATCAATCTCTGGTCGTGGTTGGTGAAAATTATGAACATGTTTCAACACATTTCTACGCTGACACCAACAAGCAAGCAAAGACGAGCAACAGCGGTTATTTGGGTTTGCACCACCACCACCACCCCCGATCAGCAGCACCAACCAAGACAAGGCCGCATCAACGCGAAAGCCAGGCGAGGAGTACACGAACCATCATCGGCTTCCCTTTCCACGAATATCTCTTCCCTTTGGTACCACTCCCCGTCCCTGCTTTTCTCTCTTTCTCGTTCTCTCGCCTCTGGCGTTGGCATAGAGCAAAGCAGAAGCACGCCTCCCGTTGAGCTGTGCAAGGACAAGCAACCCACTCAACAAGAAGACAGGAGGAAGAAGAAGCAAAACGGGGACGTAGTCCTGCATCAGGATCAGATTGAAAAGACGGACAAGCAGACATGTCGTCACAGGACACCACGCGACAGCTCTTCACGGAGATTGGCTGTCTTGAGCATCCGTTCATGAAAGTAAGGACATGAGAGAGAGAGAGCGTGTGTGTGTGTGTGTGTGCGGCGGTTTGCGTGTGTGCGTGTGTGTGTGCGTGCGTGCGTGCGTGTGTGTGTGTGTGTGCGCGCGCGTGTGTGTGTGTACACGAGATCTGGTTTGCTTCCTTCGATTCACAGGGGTACAACAACGCCGCTTTCACCTTGACAGGCTTCTGTGGACGAGGTGGTGCGCGTGTCAAAGAGCTGTCAGAAACTCATCGACACGGAGATGGTCAGCATAATCAAGGCCTTTGACGAGCTCGCCGGCTCCTCTGACGTCTCTGCAGCTGTCGTGGACGCCAGGCTAGCAGCAATGCAGACCCAAATTGAACAACTCGAGGACCAGGTGTGTTGTGTGTTTGTGTGTGTTTTGGACTTGGTGTCCACATCGTGCACGACAATGTGCCCTGATTTTTGGTGTAATCTGACACCTGTTCCTCGTTCCCCCTTCTGCTTAACTCGCCTTCAATCCCGTCCCTTCCCTGCTCAACTCAACATCATCTCGCTCCACCCACCAGATGCAAGAGATCCGGCAAGCCGAGAGTGAAGTGTTTGAAATGTGCGCTGCTCGTGTGCAACATCTCCAAAACGCCGAGACAATGAGGTGCGACAGCATGGTGCACCATCGGTGATGGGGATTGTCATGAATGTTGCCGCATCGGTGTTGCACAACCTTATCCATCACACGCTCGTGTTGCGACGTGGAAGCATGTGTTCGCGTGGGTTCACGATTCACACGGCTTTTGTGGCGCCGTGTGTGTCGCCATCATCCACCTTTTCTCTCACCCTTCTCACCATCACGTCTCAACATCTCCGGCCTTGCATGTCCATCCCACAACGCAATCCTGTGGCAGTGCGGACCTGTGGAAGCAGCTGCGCGTCAACCGCTTTCTCGCCGACTATCTCCTCCGTAATGGCCTGTACGACACGGCGGAGAAGCTTGCTGCCGTCCCCGCGCTGGCGTCCCTCATCAACGTCCCCCTCTTCCAAGAGGTGCGTGCGTTGGAGCAGCACATCCGCAACCGCGAGTTTGAGCCCGTGTTGGTGTGGCACGCGCGCCACGAGCAGCGGCTGCGGCGACTGGGCAGCACCCTCCTCTTCAAGCTGGAGCTGCAGGTCTTCATCGAGGTGCGATATGCTGTGCTGGGTCGCGCTGGGCTGTGTGTGTGTGTTTGAATGTGTGTGTGTGTGTTTGAATGTGTGTGTGTGTGTTTGAATGTGTGTGTGTGTGTTTGAATGTGTGTGTGTGTGTTTGAATGTGTGTGTATGTGTGTGTGTGTTTGAATGTGTGTGTGTGTATGTGTGTGTGTATGTGTGTGTGTGTGTTGTGTGTGTATGTGTGTTTTGTTCGCATAATGGTTAGAACTCCACCGTTTCCCTTTGAGCAGCCTCACGTCTTTGACAAATCCTACACCCTCCTGCTGGTCCTGCTGGTCCTGCTACTTCGGCTGTCGTCCCTCATTTCACAGTTGATACGCAAGGACGAGCGGGCAGAGGCACTCGCGTACGCGCGCACTGCATTCCCAAAACACGCCCAGCAGGTACGTGTTGTGTTGCTCGTTGGGTGTGTGGTTGTTGCGAATCAGCGCTCACACGTTTCCCTGAACTGTGTTGGTTTCACCTTCACCTTCATTGCCATCGTCCAGCACATGGACACAATCAACAAGGCAGTCGGCGTGCTCGTGTTTCCTCAGCAACACGCATCGCAGGTACGCACGTGCACGTTCACGACACGGCGACAGCAGTGGAGTGACTGAATGCTTCCTTTTGGATTGTTTTATCCGCACTGTTTCTTCGCCTTTGACAAACGCACACCACACCACATTTCCGCATTTACACACACACACACACGCACACACACGCACACATACACATTATGCACGTGTGCATTCACACGCGTGTGCAGGAGTTGCTATCGGAAGAACGGCTTGAGGACTTGGTGCAGCAGCTGCGACGCAACAACTTTGCACTGCACAGCCTCACCGCCCAGTCTGTGTTTGACGCCACGCTGCAAATTGGCGTTTCCGCCTTCAAAACCGTGCACTGCGGCAACCCAAACACAGCGCTCTCCACCTGCCCCGTGCGTACGGCTCGCGTGTCACCTTGCATCTTGTGCGTGTGTGTGCGTGTGCGCATGTGCGTGTGCGCGTGTGTGTGCATGCTGTTGTTGTTGGCGGTGTTGAGTGTGCATCATCAGCGTGGCTCATTCACGCTCACTCCCATACGCACACTCACTCCCATACGCACACTCACTCCCATACGCACACATACACATTCACGCATTGACACGCATGCATGCACAGACGTGCAGCAAAGACATGCAGCCGCTGGCAGCGAAGATGCCGTATTCGGTGCAGACGACGTCCAAGCTGTATTGCCGCATCAGCAATGCCAGGATGGACGAGCACAACCCGCCCTACATGCTTCCAAACGGCCAGGTCTACTCGGAACAGGTGCGCCCCGCGTTTTTGCGCTCTTGAGGCAGTTTGGGTTGTACTGGTGTTGTGCTGCGTGGTGGGTTTGAGAGGGGGGGGGGAGTTGTGGCTTGCTCGCTTGCTGTGACACACACACACACACACACACACACACACACACACACACACACACACACACACACACACACACACACACACACACACACGCACTCATGCATTGCTTACATGAACATGATTTAGGCGTTGCGGAGCATGCAGGAAACCAACGGCCACATCACGTGTCCAGAGACGCACAACACGTTCCACATGAGTGAATGCAAGCGCGTGTACATTGTGTGATGGTGTGCCCAGTGCATGCACCAACGCATCGCATGATTGATCGACCCATTGTAGTTTCTCTTCCTCATCTCGCCATTGTTTGTTACCCATAGCCCGCCACGCTCACCCCCTCTCTTTCTCACTGTAATAAACGAACGAGTGCAAACCTTGAGCGTGTTACGTGTATTGCCATGTGTGCATCAAAGCAACGGAAGCTACGACGATGACAATGCAGACACACACACACAAGTGGCAGAGATGAACCAATCCTCTCCACACCACACCACATCACACAACATGCAACAGCAGGATAGAACACACAAGGCGGACATTAAACTCGTATGTATGACAGAAGCATTGAGACCAACGAAAAACACAGCTGTCGTGTGGCGCTGATGCACAAACGCGCAATCACATCACACCACATCATGGGCACACTCATGGCTCCTTCCTTCAGGGGGGAGGGGACACATTACACAACTCAACACGCACATCACACCATCACACATAACAGGGGCATGTGTGTCCAGCTACCAGGCAGCCCTATCCCATTTCTCGGTCACATCTTGCCTCCACCAATCCACCGCAACACAAACGCGTCACACGCGTCCAACGCGGCCAACGCATCAAACGCATACCTGCAATTGCACAAGCGCGCACGAGTGCGAACGTGCCTCAGAGGATCTTGAAGACGGACTTGAGGCGTGCCATGAGGCGCCAGTCCTCCTTGGAGAGGTCCTCCCTGAAGTAGTTCTTCACGGCGTCAATTGAGTCGCGGCTGATGCGGCTCACAAGCTCGTCCTCAACGTCAAAGTGGCGGCCAACCATCTTCTTCTCCCCGCTCACGGGCTCAATCTTGATGCTCACCTCCTGGCCCTTCTTGGCAAGGTCCACCTCCTTGTGCTCAAACTGCATCGAGGAGACGACGCCAATGTCAACCGAGTCCTTGGACGGCACGCACAGCGGGGTGCCCGTGCGCAGCAGGCCCTCCTCCACGCGCACGCCAACCACAATTGGGTCGCGCGCGTTGAACACGCAGTCGGGGACAATCTGCAGGCGGCAGGGGAACACGGCAATGTTGCGATACCGCTCGCGCAGTTGCTGCTTCACCTCCTCCATGTGCTTTCGGAACGATTCCTCCAGGTGGTAGATGATGTCCGCCTCGAAGATGCGAATGCCCTCCCGCGCCGCGTACCGCTTGGCGTCTGCGTCCACGGGCACGTCAAAGGCGAGGATGCAGGCGTACTTTGGATCGCGCTGCAGCTGGATGGTGCACCGCGTCACGTCGCGCCTGTGCACGGGCCCAATGTTCACTGCAGACACGGGGATCTTCTCCGTGCGCAAAAACTCCAGCAGTGCCTCGAGCGAGCCGAGCGTCGACGCCTGCACGCACACGCCCTTCTCCACCGTCTTGATGGCGTTGAGCGTGTCCTCCAGCAGGCGCTCTGCCTCCTCCTTGTACACCTCTTCCTCCTCGGGCGTGTGCGCCACATACAGCGGCAGGCCCGCCACGGCCTTCTCCAGGTTCTTGCCCGCAATCTTCACACCCTGCGCAGCGCGCACCTCCTTGTGCAGCACATATGCGTTCTTCACGCGGAGTTCCTTGAGCGGCGCCGGCATGAGCAGCGAGCGCGCCGTGGTGACGATGGGGCCCTCCAGCCCGCCCAGCACAATGGTGTCGCCCTCGCGAAGCGTGCCGTTGGTCAGGATCACGTCAATCGTCGTGCCGTAACCCTGCACCTCCTTCACCTCAAGCACCGTGCACTCAAGCTCCTCGCTGTACGCTGTTTGGGGGGGGGGGGTCGGCACGCATGTGGGTGTGTGTGTGTGTGTGTGTGTGTGTGTGTGTGTGTGTGTGTGTGTGTGTGTGTGTGTGTGTGTGTGTGTGTGTGTGTGTGTGTGTGTGTGTGCGTGCGTGTGAGCGGATGATGTTGTGAAACGACTGAAACGGACACTTCAAGCAGTGCTGCATTCATACACACACACACACACACGCACACGCACAAGCGTACACACACGCATACACAACAAACAGACGCGCACGCGTACCAAGGGCCTTTGCAAGCATCTTCTGGGTGAGGCTGACGAGGAGGAAGAGGAGGTCGGGTACGCCCTCGCCCGTGTGTGCAGAGGTGGGCACAATGTTGACATACTCGCGGATGTTCTTGTTCTTCCAGTAGAGCTCCGTGTTGATGCCGCGCTCCGCAAACTGCAGCTTGATGTGGTCCAGGCGCGTCTCAAAGTCCTGGATGGCCGGCTGCTTCTGCTTCTTCAGGGCAAGCTGGATGGGCGTGTTTGGCGTGCGGATCCACCCGTTGAGGCGGTCAACCTTGTTCAGCGCAATGACAAACGGCGCCTTGCGCTTGCGCAGCATCTCCAGGGACTCGGCCGTCTGCGGCTCAATGCCGTGCATAATGTCGACGACAAGCACAGCCATGTTGCACAGCGACGACCCACGCGAGCGCAGGTTGCTGAACGACTCGTGCCCGGGCGTGTCAATCACAAGCAAGCCCGGCACCTTAATCTCAAACTTGCTGCCCTTCTTCACCTTTGCCGTCTGCCGCTCAATCTCGTCTGTGGGGATGTACGTCGCGCCAATCTGCTGCGTGATGCCGCCGGCCTCACCGTCCTGCACGTGGCTGCGACGAATCTTGTCAAGCAGCTTTGTCTTGCCCGTGTCGACGTGCCCCAGCACAGCGCAGATGGGCGACCGCAGCTTGTCTGTCGTCCGCTTGGCCTCGTTCTCCTGGCGCCGCCGCTCAATCTCCAGGCGCGCCGCCTCAACGCGCTCCTCATGCAGCTCCTCCTGCGTCTTGTGCTGTCGCTCAACGCGGCTCTCGGCGCTGCGTGTGTACGTCTCCACGGCGGCTTCGTCGCCCTCTTCCTCGTCATCATCATCGTCACCGTCACCATCACCACCGGCTGCTGCTGCTGCTGCTGTTGGTTTTGCGGTGGCGGCGGTGGCGGTGGCACCGTCCTGGCCCTCGTCCTCTGCCTGATCATCGCCATCATCACCGTCGCCGCCCAGACCAAGGTCAGCAGCGTCCAGCAGCTGCAGGAGGAGATGAGGGGGCGAGGTTGCAATTTGGAACGTAGGTTTGGGGGGGGGGGGGGAGAAGGTTATGCGCAGGGGAGAGGCCCACGTGAGGTGGTGGCGGCATGGCAGAATTGGATTGCACAGCAAGATGTATGCGGGGGGGGGGGGAAGCAGTTGCACAAGAAACAAAAGCGCCGCGGGCAGCGAACAATGCAAGCCATTCACGACAAACGACAGCCATGTGCACATCAAACAACAAGCACGCGTGCGTGAGCCAAGCCAGCAGAGCAAGCAAGCGTACGTCTTCCCAGTTGTCGACTTCCTGGTCCTCTTCCTCCTCCATCTTCTT